AACAGTTTCAAAAACAATATAGATATAAAAACAAACAGAAGCTTCAGCTAATATCAGAGCAACTTAAGGAAGCAGGTATTGATATATAGCTCGTTAAGCCAACAGTTGGTTGTCCAAGCATAGAAGAAGCACAACCAGGTCTACTAGAAGCTATTGTTCAAATCGTTTCTCCAGATAGACAGGCCGATGAAAGGCGATGTTTAGAAATGATACGCTCTGTCAAGACCTTAGATCAGCTTCAAGAGGTACTGACACATATGAACTATAAGTTGTCATGCTCTACAACATATCTTAGGCTCATTCCAAAATAGCACAATACTGAAGAGGGAAAGCGACATGTCAAAACTGTGCCAGTAAAGCTTCTAAGGTCTCAAAGTACGGCAAGAAGAAGTTATGAGGATACCCATTTTTGTGCTACTTCAATAAGGAATATAAAAGAAATGGTATCTTTATTAGGTCCAAAAAGTGTTTTGGTAATATCACAAGATGACAAAGCACAAGTACCTCTTGGCTTAGCTGCGGCTAACAAACAAGGTAATCTAAAATAAAAATTACAAATTTAACTCAGTTTAAAAGTCACTCGGTATATTAATAATACTAGTGATTATAGATAGCTTTTTGAGTGATTTTAACCAAGTCAAAATAGAATTCTTATTTAAAATACAGTATAATAAATTAAAGTTTTACTAATAATAATTAATATAGTACCGATTCTTATAAGGCTGGAATACCGAGTAGAGCTTCCGGATCATGACTGAGTCATTGTTGAAAGGCATAAGCTAATTCCTTTAGTTTATGCAGTATTAGATGTGCAAGAAGGTAAGTATGGACATGCTGATGCAGTAATATATTCGGGCCCAACTTTTATAAGAATATGCAGTGGTAAGCATGATAGTAGTACCACGTACTCACGTGAAAAAGATTTTGACAACTTGATGAATGAGGGGCAATTGCGCAACTACACTACAACAACAAATAAACAACCTAAACCTGTAGTGGTACTGCTAAGTGATGGTGGTTCTAACGAGAATCCCTGATATAAAAAGACAATTCAGATGATGATCGAACATTTTGATAAATATGACCTCGACACCATCATTGTAGTATGCTTTGCACCTTATCAAAGTGTATCTAATTTAGTTGAAAGACGAATAGCACCTCTAAGTCATGACTTAGCTGGTGTCATACTCCCACATGATACATTTGGAACACATTTGGATACACAATTGAGAACAAATGATGAGGAATTAGAAAAATGTAATTTTAAAGCAGCTGGAGATGTTTTAACATCAGTATAGGAAAATATAATTATAGATAGTTACCCAGTTCTTGTCAAGTATATAGATCCTTCTGAAGAACATCACTATTTAAATGAGAAGTCAGCACTTTGAATGGAGAAACATGTAATGACTTGTCGTTACATGACTCAAGTCACAAAGTGTGATGATTAGAGCTGTTGCAAACCATTTCGAAGTGGAATAAGGCAAATTCTTCTTAATCGCTTTTTCTCCCCACCACTTAAAATTCAACAAAAGCCTTTCGGTATTTGCGCAGCAAACATAAATGCATCTGATGATACAATTCATTATTCCGGTTTTCTCTTATCTGTGTTAATGGAAGGAAAGTTAATTCCTCCAAATATGAATTTATAGCATTTTCCTTTTGATTGGTATTGCCCAACTATCAATAAATCGATTAACGAATATATATATCTCTATTGTAATAAGTATTTTGCTTTAAAAAAAACTTTGAATTACTATACGCGAAAATGTTCGTATAAGGAATCTAACTTATCTGTAAAACCTCCTTTAGATATTCAAGATTTCCAAGTAGACACTAATGCGTCTATTCACAACTATCGACATGATGAAGTCTTGGTTAGTAACCAAAGTAAGGACGCTATGTGGGTGGAAAAAGAAACAGTACCAGAAGATGTATTAGAAA